GTTGTTTCTATTTATTTGAGGTTGAGTTAATTGTAAAATTATGATGTACTAATTGTGTTAGAAATAGTATACAGATAATTCTGTTTTATATAATTTTTGGAATATATATTAATTGTTTACACCAACACTTTCATTTTTTATTTCACCCCTTTGAACTTTAGACGTGTGTTATGTTTCACTTTATCCATCCGTTCACTGCTATTGTGGCAGGACCAAGTGGGTGTGGGAAGTCAAATTTTGTAATAAATTTCATAAAATCAGTTACAGAAATATGTAATTGTGATTTTAATCAGATCACATGGTGCTTTGATGAAATGCAACCATTATATAATTTACCAAATGTTAACTATCATCAAGGAATTCCAAATCTTAATATGTTTGATGGTGAAAACCCACATCTTGTTATTATTGATGATCTAATGAGAGAGTCCGATGGAAGAATTGTGGATATATTTACAAAAGGTAGTCATCACAGGAATCTTAGTGTATTTTATCTAACACAAAATTTATTTCATCAGGGTAAAGGACAAAGAGACATATCTTTAAACTCAAGTTATATAATATATTTTAAAAACCCTCGAGATAAAACTCAAATAAGATATTTAGCAAGACAAGTATCACCAGATAACCCAAAATTCATTGAAAATGCCTACAGGGATGCAACTCTAGAGGCGCATGGATATTTAATGGTAGATTTAAAACAGAATACCAATGATTTTTGTCGTATCAAGACAAATGTCTTTCCATTTAATGGTTTCTGTACAGTCTACGTCCCCACAAAAGAGTTTAAATACACCAAGAATCAAACAATTGAAATCATTGCTAAATGATGCATCGTCGACTCACAACGTATAAACATTTGCTAACCGCTTTGCATACGCTTAAACCAAAATATCAAAGAGCATTACTTAAAACGTGTGATGAAGAAGAAATTAACTGTATTTGTGAGTGTATTCATAACGTTTTACAAGGAAAAGTACCTCTTAAAGATCAGGATAAATAAAAATTGAATAAACATAAAAACATACTCCGTAAACTAGTACGTAAGTGTAAACATAAACTAAGAAAAAATATAATTATACAAAAAGGAGGGGCTTTCTTACCAACAATATTAGGTGCAATATTGAGTGGATTAGTGAGTGGACTAGCCAGTTAACATGGAAAATGCAAAGAAAATGATACTTATCGAACCTGGATTGATTGAAAAATTAAAACAAGAAAATAAGGTTAATAGTAATTTATCTCGATTAGATATTGAAATGCAAAATATTATGAATAGTAAGACGGAAGACCGAAAGAAATGGATATTATATTTACAAACACTGCAAAGATACCTTCATTTTACCGAAGAGGATCGTCAACCACTCAAATTACCAATTTATTCTGATACATCTAATGAAGATTCAAATGAGTCAAAAATTGGTTTTAAAAATAAAGATAGAGATCTAAAAACTTCAGTTGATATTGAATCTTTGCTGGAGGAGAATCGATCCATTAAAAGTAAAGAAAATGATGAAAATCCACTTTACACACCAGCTCAAATACTCAGTTTAATACCAAAAACTTATCATAAAAAAGGGCAGTTATTATTAAACTTAGTTGAAACAAGTAAAAGTAAAATACATTGGGATAATGAAGGTACAGTCATAATTGATAGTGAAAAAATTCCTGGAAGTAATATTGTTGATTTAATAAATGATTCACTAAGACCCCTAAAAAGAAGTGATCCGGTAGGGTGGGTTAGATTTGCTGAAGCATTAAAAGATATTAAAGTACCACTTACTTATATTGGAAATCCAAGGAGATGTGAGTTTATTAACCAACTTCAAGCAAAAGATCTGAACAAACCCTCTGAGATTGAAGTTCAAGAGTTTTCTACACCGGTCAGTAGAGATAAAAAGTCTACAACTAAAATACGTAAAGGACTTGAGTGGGAAAAATGGACCCCGTACTAGAAGAAATTAACAGGATTTATTATGATCCATCTAATCCCGCTGGTTTTGGTAGTATTGATAAATTATCAAAAGCCATGAAGGGTAAAATGAATAAAAAGCAAGTAAAGGAATGGTTAAAATCACAAGAAACATACACATTACATAAACCCATTCGAAAAAAATTCCCGCGTAATAGGTACATTCTATCAAATATTAATGAACTGTGGCAAGCTGATTTAAGTGATATGCGAACTTATTCTCAATATAATGATGGTTTCAAGTATATACTTTGTATTATTGATGTATTTAGTAAATATGCTTTTGCAAGACCAATGAAAAAGAAAAACTCAGAAACAACTAAAGAATGTTTTGAAAGTATATTTACTGAAAGTAATTTAACACCTACTCACATACAATCCGATAAAGGTACAGAATTTGTTTCAAAAGATGTACAAAAATACTTTAAATCCAAAAAGATTAATTACTATACCACTAACAATCCTGACATTAAGGCTAGTATTGTTGAACGATTTCAAAGAACACTAAAAATGAAAATGTGGCGTTATTTCACTCATAATAATACTTATAGATATATAGATGTTTTACAAGATTTAATATACTCTTATAATCACAGCTTTCACTCTAGTATTAAGATGTGCCCATGTGATGTAAATTCCAACAATATTATGACAGTTTGGACTAATCTTTATGATAGACGGTCAAAAAAACTTTCTTTAGAAAATCCTAAACCAAATTTCAATGTGGGTGATTATGTTCGAATAACTAAATATAAACATGTATTCCAAAAAGGATATGAATCAAATTGGAGTGATGAAATATTTATTATATCTTCAATAATTGATAGATCTCCATGGGTTGTTTATACAATAACAGATTTACAAAATGAACCAATAATTGGTACTTTTTATGAAAGAGAATTACAGAAAATCACTTACAACCCCACCTCACAACTAGACATGCGCGCCGCGCCGGCGCCGCCGCGCCACGCCGCGCCCTGCCCACGCCGCGCCGCGCCGATAAATCCGATCGGCGCGCCGTGAACCAACGCGGGACGGGCGCGCGGGCGCGGGGTCAATAAAACCATGCAATTATTTAAGAATTCAAAAATCAATAAAAAAATGTAAAAAGATCGTAAAAATCGTTCGGTATCGCTTACCGGAATTGAAGCGAGCGGCGGAAATAGAACAAATTAAATTTTTACAGTCTCTGGAGCGCGTATCAGAACTTTCAGTATGTATATAAAAACTACTCTGTGATCAGAACATTTGCTACTAGGACGCCTAGTGAGCGCGTTTTTTCTATAGTGGGACTAACTGTGACTGCTAAAAGATCTAGACTAAGCCCAGTACACGTTAATAAAATTATTTTTATTCATGATAATTATACATTGTGTAAAAAACACAATTTTAATTTCCTATAGTTTGTGCAAGAAACAAAAAAATGTGCTTTTTCGTTTTTGCACAAATTATAAGGTATAATTAATTAGAACTTGTTTGGTTTGTTTTTATTTTGAGAAATTAAATTTGAATTCCTATCCAGGTCTATGTTTCACTTGTTACTACCTTATTTTAAATAAATGTTTATAAAAATTAAAATAAAATACGGCCGCGCCGGCGCGGCGTCGCCACGCCGACCACAATGGGTCGGCGCGCCGCCGCCGCCGAATTCTTGCTCGGCGCGCATGTCTACTCACAACATAAAATAGATAAAATAATTGACACTCGTTATTCAGGTAACAGAAAAGAAGTATTAGTGAAGTGGAAAGGTTATCCAGATAAATTTAACAGTTGGATTTTAGCTTCTAGTTTAAAAGAAATATGAATAAAGAAAGTTTCTATTTAACTTTGCTCAGCAATAGTTCAATGGAATACTTTCCTGATAACAAGACCACAAATTTTTCAACGAAATTACCAAAAGCTATAAAATTAGAAGGTGAATGGTCGGTTGGAGTTGTCGAGTTTCAATATCCATGTACCATGTTTACTGTTCAAGACCATGAAAATGTTATATACATTACAAAATCTATGTTAATGCCTAATGAAGATAAACCATCCACAGTGTACTACAAAAAACATATTCCAGCTACCAACTATGATAACGCTGAGCATATTTTAAGAGTGTTAAATGGTATCGGAGAGAACTTGAAATTTCGCTATGATGAAATAACAAAATTTGTGTCTATTTCGGTATTGGATAAAAATATAACATCCGTAACATTATCACCCAAATTAAGTTTACAGCTAGGTTATGAACCAAATAAAAATCTCCTAGAGAGAAATTTTGGAAAGTGTCCTGCTAATTTACACTTAGGGTTACCATCTCAACTATTTCTATATTGCGACATTATCGATCCTCAGATTGTGGGTGATGTTATGACTCCTTTATTAAGAGTCATTTCATTAGATCCTACAAAATACATTTATGGTGCAAATAAAATGCACGTTTTCTCTCAACCTCACTACTTACCTGTTATGCGAAGAGAGTTCGATACGTTGGAAATAGTTATAAGATCGAGTACAGGACAAAAAATACCATTCCAGTTTGAAACCGTGTGTATTAAACTACATTTCCGAAAATTATAATAATGAATTCTCTTCGTGATCATCATAAATGTCCATATGAAAATTATTATACACATCAAGCTGGATCAGGAGTTGGAGTAATTTATAAGGGTTCACCATATCAACGCGGTCATGGTATTGGGAGCTTCTTAGGGGGGTTATTCAAATCAGTTTTACCTTTACTTTCAAGTGGTGCTCGAGTGATTGGTAAGGAGGCATTAAGCGCTGGAGTAGGACTTTTATCGGATATGGTTCAAGCCCGTCCTATGGAAGCCTCAATAAAAGATCGTCTAAAGCAAGTTAGTACGAATTTAAAACGAAAGGCTGATGAGAAAATTGATCAATTTAACATGACTGGATCTGGGTATAAAACTAAAAGAAAACGATTGACATCGTTCATTCCACCATTAACTGCTAAAGTGAAAGCTGCGAAAAAACTTTGTCTAAAACCAAAAAATATCAAAGATATATTTTCAAACTAAATATGTCTTTCCTTCATAATCATTCTTGTGAGTGCGTTAAGTCAGAATTGGATTTGTTTGCACTACCGTCTACACAAACTAGCATTGAAAATGGATTGTGGATTCATTATAAACCAATTTCATCTCTTGGTGATGATGGACCTATCGAGTTTCAAGTTCCTGGGACCGGCGATGACTACATAGATTTGTCTCATACATTACTCCACATAAAGGCAAAAGTATTAAATCAAGATTCAACTAACTTGGTATCTACTACAATAGTAGCACCTGTAAATAATTGGCTGCATTCACTTTTTAGTCAACTTGATGTTTATTTAAACCAAAAACTTCTATCACCACCTAATAATACCTATGCATATCGAGCATACATGGAAACCCTTTTAAACTATGCCCCTGCTGCTAAACAATCTCATCTTACTTGTAGTCTTTGGTATGAGGATACAGCAGGAAAAATGGATTCTACAGATGGTAAAAACATAGGATTTGTTAAAAGACAGGAATTGATTAGTGAAAGTAAGGAAATAGAAATGATTGGAAAAATTTATCTTGGTTAAAAATGTCACCGTGAAGATGGTGACATGTTTAACCAAGATAAATTTTTAATTAATGGTGTTGAAATGAGTGTTAAATTGGTTCGATCAAGAGAGAGTTTTAATTTAATTGTTGGGTCAAACGATGTAAAGTTTAAAGTTTGCATTACGGACGCAACTCTTATTGTTCGACGAGCACGAATTAATCCAAGTGTATTACTCGCACATCAAAAAGTTTTAGCTTCTACCACTGCTAAATATCCTATTACTCGAGCTGAAGTAAAAGTTTTAACAATTCCTTCGGGTGTTCAAGGAAAAACTCTTGATAATATATTTTTAGGACAGGTACCGAAAAGATGTATAATTGGATTTGTGAACAATTCTGCATTTAATGGTTCCCTTACTAAAAATCCATTTAACTTTGAAAACTATGGTATTAATTCTTTCAGCTTATATATTGATGGTCAAAAAATACCTTCAAAAGCTTTGCAACCATCTTTTAATAATAGCATATTTACATCAGCATATCATACTCTATTCTCGGGAACTGGTATTCACTTTCTTAATGAAGGAAATGGAATCTCTTGTGAACAGTATGGCAAAGGTTACTGTCTATTAGCATTTGACTTAACTCCTGATTTATCAGCTAACTCATCAACTCATTGGAATCTCATAAAGCATGGTAGTGTAAGAATAGAAGTACGATTTGAATCCTCATTAATACAAACAATTAACTGTATAGTTTATGCTGAGTTTGATAATATTATTGAGATAGATAAAAACAGAAATGTTACTGTAGACTATAGTAGTTAAGGTTATAATATGTGTTGTGTGTTAGATTTTATGTGTTATGTGTAATGCATTTTGTGTGTATGTAACTATGTGAAACGTTATAAAATTAAATAAAACAAATTGTATGCAATATATTTTTTTTTATTTCTTTATAAATCTTCTATTTAATCTAATACAAAACACTGTTCGAGTTGAAATTTTACATAAGCACACTGACTAAACCACTGAACATGCTGCTGCCAAGGATCATCATCATCTTCCCAATCTTTTAAACCACCACCACAATGGAAACACTTGGTCCCGTCTGCATGGCCAGTATAAAAGAAACCAGCTTCTGCAAGATCTTCAGGTTTCTGTCGCATAACGAGAGGCCAGTTTTCGAAACTAAGCAAACGGCTAGATTTTGAACTGAAGAATGGATATTCAGCTCTTGAGTACTGCATACTCTTCTCGTTTTCTTCTCCACTCAGTGTTGTAGTTTTGTTATTCAATGATGTGTTTTGTACACGTATGCCACACTCATCTCTTCCTTCCGCTCTTGTCTTCCTGTAATTGAAGTAAACAGAATCACATTCACTAATGATCAGCTAATGACTGTCATTGTTAAAAAAGTATTTTTTAACTTTTTCATTTTCTGCTATTGTCTTTGTTATATTGTATACGAGGGCGTTTGTGTTGTCGTAGATGCTATCCTTATTAGTCTTTACGTAATATTTAATTCTCGTGGAAGCATGTTTCCAATGATCAGTAGTTGGAATCTTGGATAGCTTCTTCATATCGTACATTTCAATTTTGATGAGATGCGTCGCTTGGTCTCCGTCGTCAGAATTAGTAGAAATGTATGATACACCATCTCTAGCGGCTCGTGCTACGGTTGATGATAACAGCTTCCTCTTTTTTATTTTTGATTCAGCTTCAAAAAAATGATCAATCGATTGCGATTTTCTTTTTCCACCATCGCATGTGTTATTATTAATGACGAGGTTATCACTCTCTTCTTGAGGGGAGAGTGGCGAGTAGTAATACTGTTTATAGGTATTTTCATCGAAGCTCAATGATTTCTGCAACAACACAGTTATCATGTTAATATCAATTTGTTAACACTTAATCATAAAAGTTAAAAAAGTTAAAGTTACAGCCTATTAAAGTCCACTGCTGAACATAGGCCTCCTCTCATTTCTGAGAGGGTTTTAGAGCAAGGAAATGTCCGCCGCGCTCCCTCAATGTGTGTTGGCGAACTTCACATGCCTTCGAAATTTTCTCAGACATGCAGGTTTCCTCACGATGTTTTCCTTCACCACCAAGCACGTGGTAATAAGCACTTAAAATTGCGATTAACAATTTAATTGGTGCTGGCGGGGATCGAACCCGGGTCGCGTACTGTGAAATTTACAGCTAGCGCTAACCATCTGAGTTACCACGGCTTAATCATATACATACACAATATTTAAATAAAATAATACACACACATGAAAATAACAGAAAAAAAGTAATTTAGTCAATAGAATAAACACTTACATCCATAGCCTTTGGTGTATTGAAGTAACACAAATGTACTATTGATAGATCCACTGTAGTCAAACGACCGTACACTAACTCGATGACTGCGTCTGTTGGTCTTATATACCACCAGTACGTAAAAATTCTAATCTAAAGTATTTCCGTAATGAGTTGATAATTACTTTATGCGCCAACCAGTTTATCTCACATTTTCGTTGTCTATCTCAACATTTCTTCGTATTGTGTTTTGTTTGGTGATCAATGACTCAAGTACGATTTGTATAACACAAAAATGCAATTTAATATTTAGAAATCACTATAATTGACCATTCCTATGTTATTCATTGAGTAGATTGGTACTGTAATAATGTACTAATAGCAGTAATATCATGGATACACTAGATGTACAACAACATCTGAAAAAGATTCACCCCAGTCTAGAAAATAATGTTTATGCAGCTAATAGACTGCCTATGTATACCCACGTACCAACGTATATAATATGTAATTTGGATACAGATGATAAACCAGGGTCACATTGGGTAGCTTTATATATCGATACGAATGACGTCGGTCAATATTTTGATTCATATGGACGATCACCTGTACGATATCATCTAGAGTTTTTAAAAAGGAATTGTAAAAGATGGAACTGGAATGTTGATAGGATTCAGAATGAGTGGACTTCAGTTTGTGGCGAATATTGCTTAATGTATTTGCTATATAAGTTTCAAGGATGTTCAATACATAGTTTTACGAGTATATTTACAAGGAACACATTGTACAACGATATTTTAGTGGATGAGAACAAAGAAGTACAATACAATAGCACTGATATAGTCGACGCACACGCTGCAATGAAGGTGATTAATGAACAATAGAACAATAGAAATAGGAACAATGGGACGCTAATGACGGTGGAGGCCCTTACCGGATATCAATTAGATATTAGCTAATTGATCTACACATCTCCGGAACCGTGCATTCTACACAAAAATGGACCGCGGATTCGTGATCAGAGCATGCCAAAACCTTTTTTTTTTTTTTTTTTTTTTTTTAGGATCGGGTGTCGACGAACGTCGTTGAACCACGTCTGACTCAGGTGGTCTAGAAGTGGTACAACTACACAACTTTTAACCGTAAGCACTCCCTACTCACAGACTGCGAACCTATCTTTAAATCTGATATCGTTCGCGCGCTTATATTATACATCTCGCTGCGCGTCTTGCCACGTATCCCTATATTAACTAACCTACTATTGGCCTCGCGTTGACTATTATTTACTCCTCTAATATTGAGCGACTTTACCGGTCCTTCCGCTCCTAACTCGCGAGCTAAGTCGTCGTCGATCAACGATATGGTAGAGCCTTCGTCAAGTAGCGCATACGTATTAATTTCCTTGCCGCGCGGTCCGCGCACGGTTATGGGGCACACTTTCAATAGTACGGACGCACTACTACTAACACTCGACGAGCACCCATAACACATACATGAGGCACTACCAGTGTCCTCCTGGGCGGTGAACGTCTTTACGTCGCGGGCCCTATCCTCTACGCGGCGTGTCGACACTATCCTTTTCGACGGCGGCGCCTCTCGTTTTACGGGCGATTCCTTAGTCGACGGTAGTAATTATAGATCACGCCTATACGTCCGTAAGTATAGGCGTGATCTATAATTACTTCCGGGCGGCCAAAACACTGCTCCAGTGTCCGCATAATGTCTGCCGGATCCTTCGCGGTAAACAGCAGCGCCGATACTACTTCTCTAGCCTCACCGCGTAAACAGTTCCTTAACCTTGCCATATTTTCCGTATTTGTGAATCCATATAAACGCGTGGATTCTTTCATCGCGGCTTTAAACGCTAACCATTCCGCGGCCGAACCGTTAAAAATAGGCAAGTCCTGCGTCTGCTTCGCGGCGGCTGGTCTAACTCTAATCATGCTTTCTAAAGCTTCCGCTAATCGTTCTATACCCCTATCTTTCCCTCGCGAGGTGAGCGACCTATCTCTATCCCTATTTCCCTCTAGCCTACGCTGTGGCGCTGGCGACCTATGTACACCTACATCCCTATAACACGGCGACGGTAATCTACGATCCGCAAGGCGATGTGGCGATTTATCTATGCCTACATCATTACACGGCGACGGTGATCTACGATCCGCGTGGTGATGTGGCGATGGCGATCTACGTGCACCTACATCCTTACACGGCGACGGTAATCTACGATCCGCGTGGCGATGTGGCGATCTATGTATAGGCGATAGAGTGCGGCGTTGGACGCGCGACGGCGACGTAACCCGTACACGGCGATCCACCTGGTTCATTTCTTCGGCGACTCCATTGTCCCTCTGTATCGTATCTACGCGGCGCGATTGAACATCATTCGCAACCAACCTCCCCTGGGCATCTTCAGCGTGGTCGTAACCGGTTCCCCTACTCGGCGGGGCCTGCTCTATCTCGATGCGGGGCGCGGGCTGAGACGGGCGGTAGGGCGGCTCCCCCCGCACAGTCTCTACGTTCTCTAACCACCTATCAACGCGTACCCTATTTTCAACTAATTCGTCCTTGTTTAGACTTTCCCTATCCGTTTCTTCTTGCAGTTGAGCGATATCCCAAGCGTACTTCTTCTTGATGAGATCTTCCTCGATTTGCAATTGCTTCCTCCTAATTGCAGCTAGTTCCTCCGCGGTATTATACTCGATTTGCTTTAACTTTGATATTGCGCTAGCTGT